CACTACTAAACAACTCGTTCATTCCCTCATTATTTCACGTTTGGACTACTGCAACTCCCTTCTCACCGGCCTACCTCATCACAGACTATCCCCGCTTCAGTCTTTCCTGAACTCAGCGGCCAGACTCATCCACCTTACCAACCGCTCCTCTTCTGCCACCCCCCTCTGTCATTCCCTCCACTGGCTCCCGATTGCCCAACGCATTAAATTCAAACTGCTAACACTGACATACAAAGCCATTCACAATGCTGCCCCAAACTACCTCACCGACCTGATACCCAAATACCACACAACCCATAATCTTCGCTCCTCACAAGACCACCTACTTTCTAGCTCCCTGGTCTCCACCTCCCACGCCCGACTGCAGGACTTCTCCAGGACTTCCCCCATCTTCTGGAACTCACTACCCCAATCCATCAGACTGTCACCTACCCTCCTCACCTTTTAGGCGCACCCTGAAAACCCATCTCTTTGGGGAAGCCTACCCCACCCTCACCTAACAGCTGATCTCCTCCACTCCTCCTACCACTCCATCCCCCACAGCCACTTCCTCCTGTACCACTTTCCCTTCCCTCCTAGATTGTAAGCTCGAAAGAGCAGGGCCCTCAAACCCCTCGTGTATTGTTTTGTTACTGTATTGTCTCATGTTCTGTCCCCCACTATAATGTACAGCGCTGAGCAAACCTTTCTGGCGCTATATAAATACTGTATAATAATAATAATAATGTATGTTTAATTAATTTATTTATTACGCCATAATACTAACCCTTGTATTCACAACACCTATACACCTCTATGGTACTAATTAGTACTGAGCTGCAACGAATAATCTTTCTTTTCCTTTCTTTTCATCTTTAATTCTAGACCGGGTAAATTGAGGAACACGATCAACCAAAAACACATGATAACATTATGTGATGTTAAATTTTTTGACCAATCTTTTTTTTTTTTTTCTACTACGAATTGTTTAGTGTAATTTATGTTGACCCATGATTGTTTTTATAGTAGTCATCTCTAAGATGTTTAGCTGTGTGAGAAGATGAGTTTAAAGAGGAGCTCCAGGCTCCCCCCCAAAAATTAAGTCAACAGCTACAAATACTATAGCTGCTGACCTTTAATATAAGGACACTTACCCATCCAGAGGTCTAGCGTTGTCTTCGCCAGGCTAGTTCTTCACTATCCTCTGGGTTCCTGGAGCCAGCATAGCAAGTAAGGGAAACCGGGAAACCTTGCGGCTTCACAGCTGGTTTCCTACTGTGCACACGGGAGTCACACTGTGCCTTGTGAATGGTCCTGTAGTCTTCTTGGACCTGTGAAGTGTCCCAGAAGACTGTGGGGGGGAAAAGGAGAGAGCCGAACATTCCAAACTAGCCGTGGCGAACTGAGCTGGAAGTGGGAGCATGTACCTGTCAAAACCAGATACCTGCTCCCCTTTTGGGTGAAGCTCCACTTTAATCTGTGAAGACCAAATGATCATTTGTAAATCATGAAATATTAAACTCCTTCTGATACTAGCGATATGTTTGTCTGTAGCCAAAGTGTATTGTGCAAGGTTGTTTACTGCAGAAATGTGCTGAGCTCATTGTAAGTGGGGATGGGACATAAGCCCGTCAGATTTTTATTGCTGCCTTTGTCTTTCTGTCTTAGTGACATCCATTCACCTACTTCCTGTCTTGATGTCACCAGGACAGGAATGAAGGGAGATTTCCCCAACAAGGTCATAGACAGCAACAGAATTCAGACAGAAGTGCTAACTCTTTTCTTTTCTATTCCAAACTAAAGAAAAGTTTTGGATGGAGTTGGGTCTTGAAGTGTATCTGTAGGCAAAATCATAGGGTTAGACCCTATGTAATTTTTTTTTTTTTTTTTGCTATTGGTGATGTCGTCACCCGGGAGATCCACTAGTCTGTCTTAATGACCATTGTCACGAGACAGAAAATGAGGATAAAACCCATATTTTAGAGTTGTTCCTAGAACAGGTAATGGGGATATTTTAATGGGGACAGCTGTCCTGGGGACAACTATATCAGAGCTCAATTCTCCTCATATTTGGTGGTTTCCTGTATTGTGTCTCTGGAACAGATGGTGAGGGGAAATTCACCCAGTGGTTCACAAACGGCAAAAGAACAAACTGGCCGGGTTTTAAAGCAGAACTAAACTCAAGGATTTAAACCTGATCTAAACCTATCAATTTAACAGTTTCTAAATACAGTTATATTCTTGGCACGTTTCGGGATATAACTGTCACATTTGGTTGTGCTCTCAACTAAACTGTCAAACCATCAAATGCCTGGTGTCATAACTGATCACATGCAGCACCATGGCAGTTGAATATGAGAGGCTAAGATGGCAGCTTCCTTGAATGTAAAGGATAGGAGGGTTTAGTTCTGCTTGAAACCCTTCCATTCTCTGTCCAAAACTAAAAAAAAAAAAAAGTTTGGCTATACAAAAAAATCTCACAATGAAACCAAAATATATATTTGTTTTCTGTGCTGCATTGCTCTAATGTAAATGGCCTCCAACAGTTACCAAGGACCTAACATCTCAAAGGTTCTTTGTAATCCTGTGCTTATTCTATGGATGAAATATTTGCATTCCTAGTCTACCGCTGAAGGTAAACCTCTTTTGAGAGCTGGGGAAAGCAGTAGAACATTGAAGTAAAAAACATTTACACAAAACACCTCTTTGCTTTGTGTTATTCCTGTAGTTTTGTATGTACCCAATAACACAGACAGGGGCTGTTAATATAAAAACTGTTATTCCAGTCTCTTTGTAGGGCCAGAGAGAAAGAAATTGAAAGTGAAGAACACTTTAAAACTCTCGCTGAAAGGGAAACGGGGCGTCTAAAGCAAGAAATTCAACGTCTGGAAAAGGAGCTGGTATCCTTGAGGGAAAAGAAAAATAATCAAGAAGTAAGCTTTATATGTAGATTTCTGTTCCGTTCTGCGTAAATATAAACTCAAGGTAAAAGCAATTTGAACAAAGGAGCTTACTAAAGAAGTAAGCATTGTGTCACACAATGTAATTTAATGTAGAGCACATCATTAAGCTATAATAGAAGAAAATAATGGATATGTTAATACGATGAAATGTTGTACTCTTCAGCAGTGGAAGAGGCGGCATGCAAAGAAACGAATTCAAAGTCCGTATACATTGTTTTCTTTATACTATAAACTGTCTGCTTCTGCTAAAAAGATACATAGCAAATACATTAATTAAACGCATCTTAATTGTTTATAACATCAAGGTTATACTTCTCATCCGTTAACCTCTTAATTATGTTATTTAGAATAACATATTCAAGGCCACTCAGAAACTGGAGAAACTGAAATGTCAACTCAAATGGGACCAGAAGGATCTGGAAAACTGGTTGAAAGAATCCGCTCGTAAAGACGAAGATTCTGTTGCCATTCAGAAATACGCTCAAAAAGATGAAGGGAAAATTAGGGTAAGCAACTTTATGTTTTGTTATGGTGACCTGTATATAGCTGAATGTATAATAGCAGTAATATTGAATGTTTCTCTGTAGGAATTGTCACTGAAGATTGAAAGTATGACTGTGGAAGCTAACCAGAAACGGAGGCGTTTAGACAATGAACTGACAGAGACCATCACTGCACAGGTATATTATTTATCATACATATGTTGCACCATTACAAAACACTTTTTTATAATTTGTTTTTTGTTTTTTTTTGTCAAAAGACTTTTTTTTTATAATTGTTTAGTCCTCTGCTCACGTGTTTTTTTTTTTTTTTCTGTTTTTTTTTTAAGTAGCAAAAACTTGGTTTAGAGTTGTGGTAAAAACATTTGTAGTAAGTCAACTGAACTGAATTTTTTTGGAGATGAGATTTTTTTTTGTATGCATCATAATTTATAACCAAACAGTAATTTATCATTTTGTAATAATATTTTTTCGTATTCCATTAAATAGTACAGTAGTCACATTTTCAAACATGATGTACAGAAAGCATTCTCTTGTGTTACAGATTGAGCTGGACAAGACAGCTGAAGATTTCCGCAAATCACATTTAGAAAGACAACAGGTGATCCAGCAGTGGGAGAACACGATTGATCAGATGCAGAAAAGGGACAAAGAAATTGACCAATATGCACTGGTACAAAATCTGCAATTTCATTTCTTTTACAACAAAATTGGTGGCATCTCTTTCTAAAGCCGGCCATACATTATACAATTTTCTTATTCAATTTCCTTTAGCTTTACCTCCACCTATGTAGTGCAAGGGCCTGCCTAGTTGATACAAATTGAAAGTGTTTAGGTTTGACCTCATATTACATGGTTTGGGTAAATCTAAAGGAAAATTGTACAAGAAAATTGGATAATGTATGGTGAGAACCAGCCTACGTACAGACCTTATTGCTGGTAATATTGCTAATTGATATCAGCTGATTATTAATTTTAATTGTCAATCTAGACAAAACCAGTGTTCCATTTTCTAACCCTCTTTAACCACTTGCCTGCCAGGCACTTTTACCCCCTTCCTGCCCAGGCCAATTTTCAGTTTTCATCATTGTCCCACTTTGACAATTGCGCGGTCATGCAACACTGTACCTAAACAAAAAATTTTTGAGACAGATAGAGCTTTCTTTTGGTGATATTTAATCACTTCTGGGTTTGTATTTTTTGCTAAACAAACTAAAAAGACTGAAAATTGTGAAAAAAAAAAAAAAAATTTTTCTTAGTGTCTGTTTATAAAATTTTGTAAATAAGTAATTTTTCTCCTTCACTGATGTGTGCTAATGAGGCTGCAGTGATGGGCACTGATAGGCGGCACTGATTGGCATGGACAGGCATCACTGATGGGCACTGAAAGGCAGCACTCATATATGGCAATGATAGGCAGCACTAATAGGCACTGATCGGTAGCACTGACTGGCATTGAAAGGCGGCACTGATTGGAACTGTTAAGCGGCACTAATGGGCAATGATAGGCGGCACTGATGGGCGGCAATGACTTGCACTGATTGGCTACCTGATGGGCACTGATAGGCAGCACTGACTGGCACTGATAGTTGGCTCTGAAAGGCAGCTCTGATGGGCACTGATATGTGGCATTGATGTGCAGTGATGGGCACTGGTATGTGGCATTGATGGGTACTGACAGGTGGCAATTATGGGCACTGACTGGTGACACTGATGGGGCTACACTAATCATCAGGGCACTGCTGATCAGTGCCGTGATGATCAGTGTAGATGTCCCTTCTGAGGAATTCCGCTTACTGGCTCTCCTGTCCTCCCGTGCTGTCAGCGTGAGGAGAGGACTGCTGATAACTGGAATTTCCTATTTACATGTGTTCAGCTGTGATTGGACACAACTGATCACGATAGAGCCTGTGTCATCGGCTCTTTACTGTGATCGGTGATCCGCTGTGTCCCAGGGACACCACGCACCACCGATTTCCTCGCTCCCCCCGTGGGTGCGCATGCGCAGCTAGAGTGGGAGGATGTGATGGAATGCATTGTGAATTGGAGTGAAATGCTCAGCAAGTTACAATCCTACACCCACAGTTATGGACCACTCACATCTCTGTGCCACAAGGTGGTCACATGAATGAGTATGTTTACCCCACTGGCACCATTACAGTTACACAGGCAAATTGTGTAGCTACTTTAAATGTCAATGCATAATTATGTTGTCCATAGCTATAAAATCCAATGCGTATGTATGGATATAGAGATTAAAAAAAAAAAAAAAAAAAAAAAAAAAAAAAAAATATATATATATATATATATGATTTTATAGCTAAGGACAACATAATTATACATCGACATTTACAATTATTTTGGTGACGTCCATGGAACTTTTGTACATTGGATTACTGTATATAGCATTTCTTAACGCTTTAGGAATTGACACTAAGTACTGTTATTGTGTTAGGGTGGCAAAGGCATGTTGGTTATTTAAATATATATATTACAATTTCCGTATAATTAACTGCTGTGATTCTCTTAGGTTTTCACTGTTAAGCTGGCTAGAATAATGTACATCAATCATTGCTGGGACAACGAAAATAGTTCGGACTACATCATCTCATCCTTTCTCTTAAGGGGAAACAACTAAATACAGTTAAAATACATATATGGCAACTGTCTTATTTGGAAAAGGCAATATAATTGTGTCTTGTGATTCACATTTGTTTGGATTGCCCAGCCAAGCAGGTGTCACTCCTACAAAAACACAAATATACCAATGAAGCAGGTGATTCACATGAGTAATGTCTAAATAAATAAATATGACAGTTCATAAAAGGGGTGACTTTTAGTGATTTCTTCTCTGTCCTGCACTGCTGTGTTAGGCGTTGTGCAAAATAGTGCTGAGAGAATGCACACTCACCAGAACACCCAGGAAAATGAGCGTTTAGTAATTATATATTCCCCTTTAGAGACATCAGCCGGTCAGGATAGGATAGTGTACTAGCCTCCCTCACGAGCTCCTGGAGGATTCTGTGTGGTCCCTTGATAGGTAGCCTGTGGACTTCTCCCTGAGGACCGCATACGTTCCTTACCCAGTGATGGCTGCAAATGAATACTCCCCAAGGGAGTCAAAACAAGGACGCCTCCATAGTGTAGTAGGTGATAACAGAGGTTTTATTACATCTAGCATCGAAAGTACACAGCGGTGTATACAAAAACGGACTGACCGTCCAGTGGTAAAGATGGCCGCCGGAGCTCCACGGCGTTCCTGGCTCCTTTTGGAGGAGCCAGGAACGCCGTGACGTCACGCCGCCGGAGCATCGTGGAGCTCCGGCGGCCATCTTTACCACTGGACGGTCAGTCCGTTTTTGTATACACCGCTGTGTACTTTCGATGCTAGATGTAATAAAACCTCTGTTATCACCTACTACACTATGGAGGCGTCCTTGTTTTGACTCCCTTGGGGAGTATTCATTTGCAGCCATCACTGGGTAAGGAACGTATGCGGTCCTCAGGGAGAAGTCCACAGGCTACCTATCAAGGGACCACACAGAATCCTCCAGGAGCTCGTGAGGGAGGCTAGTACACTATCCTATCCTGACCGGCTGATGTCTCTAAAGGGGAATATATAATTACTAAACGCTCATTTTCCTGGGTGTTCTGGTGAGTGTGCATTCTCTCAGCACTATTTTGCACAACGCCTGAGCACCAGCAGTGCAGGACAGAGAAGAAATCACTAAAAGTCACCCCTTTTATGAACTGTCATATTTATTTATTTAGACATTTACTCATGTGAATCACCTATCTGTCTTCATTGGTATATTTGTGTTTTTGTAGCGCTACATTTTTTGACTTATGGTATTTTCATGGTGTATGGTAACCTGATGTATAGCTGCTGCAATTAGGTGCGCTCGTATACACATTTTTTCTTTAGGTGTCACTCCTGTTTTTTTGCGTTTCAGTCTCTTGGCTACTAAATGCACAATGAATCAGCATCATTGTCCAGTGAGCAGCCAGATAACACAGGTAATACAAACTACATCCATAAAGTTTAGATCGGAAACAGTGCCTTTCTGTGTAGTGTGGCAGATGTATCTTAAATACAAAACTGGCTGGGTAGTATGGGGAAAAAAAAACCGTTGGGCAGTAAAAGGGACTTAATAGTCAGCAATTCTGCCTTGCACATTAGGGTTCCTGGTTTAAATCCCAGTCAAGAACATTTCTGCATTGAACTTGCATGTTCTCCCTATGCTTGTATGTGTTTTTTCTGGGTACTCTGGTTTCTTTCCCCACTCCACACACATGCTGGTTGTATGTGAGTATGTATGCATGTTGGAGAGGGACCATAGATTATGAGCTGCCTGAGGGCAGGGACTGATGTGAATCACAAGACACTTTGTAAATTTGTGGTGCTATATAAATACCTGCAATAAATAAAAAAAAGGCAGTGAAAAATAAAGTTTAAGCAAAAAAAAAGGAAAAACACACACTTTACCTTGGCCTGGAGTCCGCTGAAGGTTGGGAGTTCCAAATCCCATGATGCTCCCACAGTAGACTAGCCTTTGATATGATTGTAAAGGCTAAGATATTTTTTTCAAACAACAAACATGTTATATTTACCTGCTCTGTGATATGGTATTGCACAGAGCGGCCCTGAACCTCCTCTTCTGGGGTCTTCCGTTGATGCTTTTGGCTCCTCCTCATCTACGTGCACCACCATAGGAAGCCACTTTCTCCGGGAGTGCACATGTGGGCTCGCTCCCAAGCAGGATTTGATTGACAGCAGCAGAAGCCAATAGATCTCGCTGCTGCCTGTCTCTCCTTTGAATACAGAGAGAGAGGAGAGAGCTGCTAGAGACGGGCACAGCGCTGGATCGAGTGAGGACTCAGATAAGCATGGGGGGAAGGTGAGGGGGCATACAAATAAGAAGACATTCTTTACCTTAATTCAGTGAATCTGTCTGATGTTGCCTCTTTCCCCCGCCTGGTGTACACCAAGAACTGATCAAATACCACTGATCACTCAGTTCTTGGATCCTCTCTGAGCAAAGAGCAGTGACTGTCAGCCAACGGCTCTTTGTTCTGCCCCTCCAGCACTCACTGGAGCCCCAGGCTGTGGAGGGGGCAGGAGCAGCTGGCTCAGGCTCCCAGTGGCTCCCGGAGAGGCTTTGCCAGCTGCCAGTCCAGGCATCTCGGAGGATCTCAAGACTGAAGTGAGGATCTCTCCAGAATCTGAACCAGCTGAGTGACTCTAAAGCCCACTGCCATCTGAATATGGGTCACAGGAGTGCAGAACGAAGTGCATTCCTGTGATCCCCAGGACAGAAAGGGCTAAAGAATCTTTGGCTCTTTTTCTCCTTTAAAGCAAACTCACCCAGGGGACAGACACTACCTGCTGCTAATCCACACATTTGTTGCCATGCTTGCCAGCTCACTCTCCTTTTTTGCTGATTGGCCCTTTAAAAATGAAGTCAAATATTTTCTGATTGCAAGCACTGCACAGTCCCCTGCAAACATTATAGAGTGTACGTGTGCGATTGAATGAATGCAGCTACTTAACACTAATCTTTCTTTTCCTAGCTGTTAGCTCAGGTCAAGCAAGAGCTAAGAGACAGAGAAAGTACAATCAAGGAGAAAATCCAGTTCCTGAACAGTGAAATCGACAATAACAAGGAATTTGAGAAAAAGATTGACATCGTAGAGAGAAAAGCAGTCAAACTGAGACAGGACTATCAGGAGCAAGAGGCTGTGCGGAACAATCTACAAGATGAGGTAACATCAGAAATAAAAAGAGAACCGTGCAGATGAAACATATGGAACTGGCTTACAAACAGCAGATATGGTGTGATATTGTTGAGAGTTTCTATATAGTAACAGAAATACAGCATCTTCTTGTTTTTTATTTTTATCTTGTACCAGTAATTCAGTGAAGTAGTGCTAGCTGTGAAAACACTTTAATGTCAGTGACCTGACTGCCAGAAATCCATTACTTTGAGGATCATAGATGTACCAACACATTTGCAGATGCTATAGGCAAGGTGCTCAGTGAATCAAGCTGGCCATACATGCATAGATTTTCCTAGTACACCCTGAAGGCTGAACTAAAGAAATCCAAAAGATTCCTATATCTATGCTAACAGTGGGGTGAGAGGGGAGCTGCACACTGTTTTTTTTTTTTTTTTTTACCTTCATGCATAGAATGCATGATGGTAGAAAAAATGTCAGCCTTTAGAACCACTTCAATGAACATTTCACAAAGCTGCTCCATTTTTTTAGTATCTACTAGGGCCCCTTGACAACTTGTCTATTTGGCCTGCAACTTGTGCAGGAATGCAAAGGGCTATCTGAAGTCTCAGCCCTTGTTGGAAATCAGCTGGGGTGAAGCAAACATTTTGCTAAGGTGGGTGCTACCACAGATTCTTATTGAACTAGATGGGTACAGGCACAGAGTGTTTTTTACCTTACAGCATAGAATGCATTAAGGTAAAAAAATCTTACAGCAGAACTACATCCTTCCTGACTAATTTCCACTTCTCCATCCCATGCCCCCCCGCCCTTTTTTTTTTTTTCTTCCTCCTTTTGTTTGTTTTTTTTTATCAAGAGTTATTTCTTCCCAACCCCTCTTCTGTCATTTGCCTAGATGAATGATGTCACCTGTCACCCTGGTGCCTTTCAGGATATGTGACATGGATACCCTTAGAGGTGTCGGGAGCATCCATTCACTAGAGCAGGAGGGGGCGGGCCAAGGGAACGCATCATTGGGAGGAGTGCCTGTGCCTCCTGATAACAGCCTGGAAGAAGATGGCGGCACAGGACCCAAGTGCCGACTTCAGAGAAGGGGAATCTCTGCGTGACAATGCTGGATCCACTGGGTGGGTGAGTATCCTTCCTGTGCAGAACTCGGCATCAGGTAGGTATGGAAGACAGATTTAGGGGGGTAGGATAAAGTTCTGTTTTAAGGCTTTAGAACCACTTTAAGGTAAAAATTGACTTGCCTGTACAATTAATTTAAACTTGTGTGAATGCATATGTACCCAGTGATTTATTATTCCTTCAGTAGTACACCACTGAGATTTTTAGCTGCATGTCCATTCCCTTGATTAAGGGAGAATACAGCTGTCTGTTTAGCAGAATTTAGGGAAGGAGCATGACTATAGAATGCAGTGAAAGTGGCCACAGATGTGGAAATGCTCTAGGTTTCTGGACAGTTGTTCCCGGTGCCTAAAGCATTACTAGCCCACTGTATTGGAACACATTTAATATGTATTGGTATTCATATACCCAGTATTGAATTTGTTTTTACAGGTAGAGCTGCCATTTCAAAAAGTTGTTCGCATCATTCAAACTTTTTTTTTTTTTTTTTTTTTTTTGTGATGTGCCACATATAGCGACTTTAACTTTCTTTCTTATTAACAGCTGGATACTCTGAAAGGAACTGTTGATAGAACAGCCACTGAATTAGAAGTAATGAGAGTTCAAGTCAACAATCTTAAGAAAGAACTCAGGAATAAAGACGAAAGGTCAGTACAGAACTCTTATTATGTGCCTGCTTTTGCAATATCGCAAATCTGTACTTTCCTATATAAATGATCATTTAAAAGTGTGATGTGATTTCACATCTGAATGTGTTCTTTTCAGGGTAAATCTGTCAAAAGAATATAATAAAGGCCTGACCGAAAAGTTGAAGGTTGTCACTGAGTCTGCACTGAGTGTGGAGGAAAGGGCACAGCGTATGGAAGAAATGCTGAAAGAACAAGAGAGAACAGTGAAGGTAAGGCTCTTTGGAATATTTATTAATGCAGTACAAAGATTACTGGTGTGCACTAACCTGTTGTAATCAACCTCATTGACAGGAGTCGGAACAATGAAAGATTGGTACAGCTTACGGTGTGTGTATGTGTGTGTTTGCCAAAAAACTGTTTCCAGCTCACATACAACTTTCCAGCTTTTACCTGGGACACAAATGCATTAGAGAACCATATACCTTACCAGGCTGAGAAAGAGAAAACCCAAGAAGTCTTCATGCTTATGGTGCTCTTAATGAAATCAGACCCAGATCCCTTGTTCTACAGTGGCAATAAGGATATAAAGCTCTATGCTGAAAGGCAAACATAACATGTACTTAATCGCAAACTGAAATCAAAAGACTTAAAGCGGTATTAAACCCAAAAACAAATATTTATGATATTGCAGCTTACCCATTCTTAGATGTGATGGTTGCATTACTTTTTTCTTTTTAGGCTTTCTTTCTTCTATTTTAATTTGGTGATCCAGCCAATAATTCTGTTTTTCAAAAGAACAAGCTCTCCAACAGAGAGCTTATTAGTTTATATGGATGGAGACAAACCATTTAACACTAGCAGCTTTTATTTAGTTATATGTAAAACCTGTATCCTTAAAGGAAAAACTGTTGCTGTAGCTGCCTATATGGTATTAGCTGGAGTTTTGCTTCCTTCAGTTTGTTAGTGTATTTAATTTTGCTAGTCCATTTAACACTCCCCTCCCCGAGACCGACAATGCTGCTGTGCAAAAGTTATTATTATGATACAGGATTTATATAGCGCCAACAGTTTGCTCAGCGCTTTACAATATAACGGGAGAGGGTTAGGAGGGCCCTGCTCCTTGGAGCTTACAATCTAGGTTCCTACGGTGCTCATTTATCCAGAGTGGTGGCACTCTAATACAGGAGATGTTACTGTCCAGATCACCAGGTGAAAACAGAGGGTAAAAGAGAGAAAACTAATGCAGTCTCCACATCTAATGATTGGTCAGCTGCAATATATTACATTTTTGGTTTTGGGTTCAATACCACGTTAATTTTCTGGGAAGTGCTATATAAAAAAGCCTTGAAGAGGCCTTTGTTAATGTTAGCATGACTTGGAAAACACCTCCTGCGATAAGGCGTATTTTGCTTATCAACAGTCGGTAACCTGCTACACTGATTGTGCTGTTGCGAAACAAGATTTGCTTGTAGCAGTAGTCTGTACAGCAGGAAGCTGCCCATTCACAAAGTAATACTGACCTGTAAGCATGCTTTAACCACTTGTATACCAGGCACTTATACCCCCTTATTTACCAGGCCAATTTTCAGCTTTCAGCGCTGCCGCACTTTGACAATTGCGCGGTCATGCAACATTGTACCCATATGAAATTTTGATAATTTTTTTCTCACAAATAGAGCTTTCTTTTGGTGGTATTTAATCGCCACTGGGCGCTTTACTTTTTGCGCTATAAATAAAAAAAATGCAAAAAATTTGAAAAAAAAAAGTTTCTTTGTTTCTATTATAAAATTTTTCAAACAGGTAATTTTTCTCCTTCACTGATGTGCGTTGATGAGGCAGCACTGATGGGCACTGATAGGCGGCACTGATGGGCACTGATAGGCAGCACTAATGAGGTGTCACGGATAGGCGGCACTAATATGCAGCACTGATAGGCGGCACTGATAGGTGACACTGATGATGGGTACTGATAGACGGCACTGACTGGCATCACTGCTGGGCACTGACTGGCAGCACTGACTGGCACAACCGCTGGGCACTGACTGGCAGCACTGGTGGCTGCACTGGTGGGTGGCACTGGTGGGCAGCACTGGTGGGTGGGCACAGGCACAGGGGTGGCACTGCTGGGCACAGGTAGGTGGCACTTCTGGGCACAGGTGTGTGACACTGCAGAGTGGCACAGGTGGGTGCACTGCTGGGCACAGGTGGGTGAACTGCTGGGCACAGGTAGACGGAGCTAGTTGGCGCACTGCTGGGCACAGGTGGGCGGAACTTGTGGGTGGCACTGCTGGGCACCGATCATCAGGGCACTGATCAGCAGTGCCCTGATGATCGGTGCCGATCCCTGCTCTGACAACTGCCGGTTCTCGGCAGTACTTTCCTCACGATCTGACAGCGTGAGGAAAGTGCAGCCGAGAACCGGCACTTGCATTTCCCTGTGATCAGCGTGTCATTGGACACCGCTGATCACGTGGTAAAAGGCCGCTGTGATTGGCCTTTTACCACATCACCCAGAACTGGCCGGCAGCAGAACCGTCATTTGGCTATCTGCGGTCGGCAACTAGTTAACACTGATTTTTTTTTTTTTTTTTTTTTTACTGTGTCCATAGTGGGCTTAAGTCAGCCACAGATGGTTCAAATTTTGGCTAGTTCAGCAGGGACTGGCCGAGATTTGATCCATGTATAGGCAGGCTGATTGTACCCAAGTCAAACCATTGATCAACTTGTGTACAATCAGCATGTCGAATTTCTAGCATGCACTCCCCGTGTCCATTCCCACGCCGGGAGAAGACATAAGCTCCATATCAGTGTTGATAGAGGAATCGAACGATTTTCTTTCCTGCACATCATCTATGACTTGCTTTTGAACCTGGACTGGCAGACAATTGCTGTAGCACCCTGGGAAGCATGATTGTCTCTACGATTAAAGGGAATCTACAATGGGTTTGGGTCAATTATATTTATTTTTTTATAGTTTTATATGGTTTTTATACTGATGTTTTTTTATTTTTTTTATTTATATAAAATCTTTGTCACAAACAATCATTTTATTATAGCCATGACACATGATTCACTATTGGTTTTCCAAACTGAGAGCTCAGGAGAATCTGTTTCTTTTTGATTAAATCTTAAGGTTTTTACAGTAAGTAAGAAATGAAAGTGATGGCACCCATTGATGTATGCCTTTATCAGTACTGACACTTTATTGGTATGTACTCTCTTTCTGGTGGACACATTCTTACTGTGCATCAAGGGGCTAATCTATATGTGGGTAGACTGCCAAATACTTTGCAGAAAGTGCCATAGGTAATGATCTTTTAATTCATTAAGACCATTCACAGAGAAACTCACAGCAACTAATCCAATTTCATTTTTCTTCAGTAGAGGAAAGGATTATTGCTAATAGATTGCTATAGGATAGTGTATTTTGAACATTTGCCATTTCAAATAAGCTTGAAATTGTTGACTGAGGTCAAAATTGTCTACTTAAATGTATTCTGTTACCATTAGTTCACACCATGAATGTGTACTAGAAAAAAAAATAAATTGAGCAATAAATCTAAAATACAATCGGTGATAGAATTATGCTATTCCCTTAAAGCAGACTGCAAAGAAATGGAAATGTCTTTTGTTCAGATACTGTGCAAAACGACCACTTTAATCTTGCCATTTGTACCCACAGAATCTTGAAGCTCAGCTAAAACAAATAAGAGAGCAGCATTTCAAGAAATCGCAGGAGCTGCATGAATACAAGACAAAAGAAAAGCACATGATATCAGAAATTAGTGGAAGTCAGGTCTCGCTGAGAAACCTTAATAGTCAACTGCAAAAACTTGACCTACATGCTTTAAAGCAACAGGGGATCATTTACAATCAGGTACAAAACCACGCTGGCTTTCAACCATTAAATCCCTTAAATGCCACTGCTGTGTGATTAGAGAAAGCTAACCACATGCAGGACATTTTTCATAATTGAAATATTTTCAAATATAGAAAGGTAGCTTGGAAAAAAGCCTAATAATAAACAAGCATATGAAAAGACAATGTGGGTATGTAACATTTACCATAAAGTATTTAAGTTTATAATTGCATTTATAAAGCATGCATGATTATAACGTCTTATTTAAAAAAATATATACTTTTACATGACAATTTTTTGAACTTCCTGAAATCACATTTTAAATATATGCAGAGGTAGCGAGTGCTCTTTGACTGGTATTAAAGGTGTAAAATATTGGTTGATGTTGACATGAATATGTCCATATGTGTTTAGCAATAACCAATATAATTTTTGTAATGCTTTTACACCCTATAGTCTCCCATTTGCTCTGGTCTTTGGACTGCTTGCTACAGCTAAGCAGGTTTGAGGGGTTAAAGCTTCAAGGGACCTCCAGTTTTCTATATGCCTAGTGTTTATTGGCAGTGTAACCCTGGGTTCCTTATTGCTAAACTGTGTCCTTGAATGGACTCTGAGAAAAGTATTTTACAGTGACTACAAAAATCCTACATTTTGGTTTACTTTACGGGGATTGTCCATCACATCCCACATGGAAGAAAAATATATTTGAAATACACTTTAAAAATATTCTTCACAAATATATTAACATATTTTTAAAATGCTACAATTTTGGCCATATTCAATATATTTCAAAATTTTTTTTTTATATATATATATATATATATATAATATATATATATATATATATCATGTTGAAATGCATATATATGTTAAAATGACTTTATATATGTTAAAAAAAGTCTGAAGAGTATATTTTAAAAAAATATATTTTTCATATATTTTGTAATATATAAAAAACCGCATTTCAACATAAGTCATTTTAACATATATTTTTACATATATTTGTAAATGCATTCCAAAAATGTTGATTTGTTTTTTAAACGACATAACAGTATATTTGAAATGTATTTTTAAAAATATTTTTCATATATTTTGTAATAAAAATGCATTTCAACATGCAGTGTGTATATATGTGTGTATATATGTGTGTGTGTGTGTGTGTGTGTGTGTGTGTGTATATATGTGTGTGTGTATATATATATATATATATATATATATATATATATATATATATATATATATATATATATATATTATATATATATATATATATATAGCCAAAATTGTAGCATTTCGATATTCTCATACAGGAGCCTTTGCTTTAAACAGAGTTGTTAGGTGTGTATTTGCAATTTTCTGCATGTAAAGATGGAAAAAAGTAGACTAGCCTGTAACCAGTAATCGGAATTACGAAGAGATAGCCTGGCCGCCGCACACCGTGGCTGGCCCGAGTGGTTAGCAAGTAAAAGCATTCTCAGCTTGATTCATCCAAGCCATGCCCCCAACATGTTTCGCCCCTCCCCCGGGGCTTAATCATAGTTTCCCATGATTAAGCCCTGGGGCGGGACAAAACATGCTGGGGCCATGGCTTGGATAAAGTGAGCTGAGGCTTCTTTTACTTGCTAACCATTTGGGTCAGGCAAGGTGTGCGGTGGCCAGGCTATCCCTAGCTTTGGGTCTGAACCTTTCTCCAGCCTGCACCCTCACTAGTCCGTGGCATTCAATTAATCAGACCTTGTTAGCCTGAGCAGGAGCCACTTCATTGTGAGTCACACAATCTAACTCGTCATAGAACTGCTTGTGCCTATGTAGCATTTGTGAGCATGTGTTTTTATTATTGTGTACAGGATTTCCAGATTCAGCAGCTGGAGCGCAGGCTATCACGTTTAAAAGGTGACGTCAACACAGATGAGAAACGCGCCTTGGAGACAAAAGTATCTGAACTTACAAAAACATTAGATGAACGCAAAGCCTCTCTTAATATTTTAAACACCCAACACAAAAAGCTTCAGGTATGTTAAAGAAAGTACTAGTAATTTTTAAAATGAACACATACATGAAACCTTTTTCTATGTAAATGTTCATTGGGGTATCCTATTTTTTCTCTGATGCAGTACTGTCATCCCATTATTTTATATTGTGGACAGTTGTACCCCATGAACCAGTTTCAGTAATTTATTCACAATTATTTTAATTCTGTGAAAGTTTCACACCTCGGTTTTATGGCAGTTTCTTCACTAGTAGATATACACTGCAATAATTGGTTTTAGAGTACCTGTAGACATGAGATGACGAGATACCTAAAGCATTGTATACGTCAGGCATGTAATATGAACAAAGCATATCCCTATATAGTGTGTACTTGTCTGAATCCAGAGCACTGAGTCTAATTTCTGTCTGTTGCCTTATTTCTCTGCTATCAGCATGAGTCACTTCTGACACCAAGTAAAAAAAAAAAAAAAGCTCCAGCTCACAGCCTGTGATTGACAGCCTCAGCTCTGTTCCTGTGAGTTGTATGAAAGTCGGTGTGTCCCTTCCCTCCAATCAGCTCTAGCTGAACTCTACAGAGTGTAACTTCAGCTCCTCTCCCCTCTGCTATTCTCAAAGTTCAGACTAGCTCTGTAAATTCTGCACTTTGAATTGCTGTAGAAAACATAGGACTGCAGATAAACAGATACAACTTATGTGAGTAATTTTTTTTCATCTTTGTGTGTCACCTGAGGCCAGTCACTTCACTGGGTGTGTAAGGGTTTACAACCACTTTAACAGTTTAAATCCAAGGCATGATTTGAATGATAACTATTACAGGTACTAGAGTGCTTCTGACAGCTGTCAACCAAACTGCCATGGGGCAGGTTAACAAATACATCCTGACAGCTTTTGTTCCTCCCTAAGAAACGAGTGCTGACTTTTTGCTCCAATGTGTATGAACACACCAACATATGGGGTGGGTATAGATACACCTGTGCTGTGTCCTCGATTGCTAGCACTACCCCTATCCCATAATAGGATCACATGGACTTTTTAGGTAACATAAACAGCAATTAAAATACTAAATATCTTTTATTATTGTGCAGAAAAAAATTAAATATTAGAAACATTTTTATAAAATGCTTAAGCAATAACCAACAATCATGTCCAGTGGGTGATGCATTTGCGAGAGCAGAGACAGCCCCCAATGGAAGGGGGGGAGGACTTTGGTCATAAACTTCCTACACCCAGTCTCTTCCCTGAAGGTCACAGTAATGAGCTTTACATGTTTCATAATGAAGATCGCTTCTTCAGGAACTTGAAACTAGTGTTCTAAATAAATGAAAACGGAGAGCATAA